CAGAGGAATACAGCCATGTGGATAAAGTTAGCAGGACCAGGGTCAACATGTGACTTGGTCTATGACTAGACTCATGAGAGAGTCACAGAGGTCATTGATGGTCCCACTCACTCCCCATCATTGCCACTACATACTGAAATACTTCCTGAAGGCCATGCTATTTGGTGTATCAGTATTTAAGAGCCAACTGTGTTAGTCAGTGACTAATTTCATTTGTAGCCTTTTAATTTCTGGTCCTCAATAAGGTTTGCTTTCAGTCTGGCACTTAGGAGCCTTCACTCATGACCTGTGAGCTCCAGGTGTCAGTGCAGCCCCCTTTTTTCTCACCTTTCCCTTCCTACAAGCAAAGGGGACCACTCCCATAAACCTGACTACACCATTGTTGCACTAGGATCTCTGGTGTAAGTGTCAGTACCTGGCCAGAAGTTGAAATCCAGGATCCTAGCTTTGTGACACTTTTAGATGTTGGTTAAAATGAGGACAACATTAATCTGCACTGAGAATGTCTTATTTTAATTTTGTGAACACACTTGGGGGAAGCATAAAGATTTCAGTTGAATAATTGCTGCTGGGAGCTAATTTATTAAGATTCAAATTGTCCTTTTCCCCAGTCCCTTTGGGGGTGGGGTTCTCTGTCCTTGTCTAAGAAGAGAAACCTCTCTATGCACAGTTTTTGTGCTTCCTGGGTTATATTCCTACAAACAGCTCTGCCAGCAATCATAACTGCCTTGAGATCCAAGGAGAGGTAGAGGACAAATGAGATCCCAGAGAGAATACAGACACCTGCGCAGCATGAGGAGACAGATAACTGCTTGACCTGGGGGTGTGGAGGTGCTTTCTATGAACTTCAGAAGGAAGAGAGGAATGTAAGATTACAAATCCTTCCAAAGTCTAGAGGCAGAGAAGATTAAATTTTATCTAGACAGCATAATGAATGTGGCAATTATTCCTTCAGAATCATAGATTAAAAAGTTATCCCTGCTGAGGTGATGACTTGTGTTGAGATCACATGTCAACCCTTAACTGTTACTTTTTGTTGAGAGAGATGGGGCAAAGTTTTGATCAAAATGGACTGTTTGGCAGTATGTATGGAAAAGCAGGAAAGAGGGAGCGAAGCAGAATTCGACTGATAGGGGGACATTGAGACCCCAGACTTATGACAAATAAGAGTAAACAAATTGATAAACTGTAACTTCTGACCACCACTAGCCCTTTTGGGGAATTTTTCATTTAAATAACTGCCATGCAACTTTAACCTTCATCCATTTTCACCAAAATAAATTCCATCTTTGAAAGTTGAGTTGAAGAGAAAAAAGTATTTTCTTGGTTTTCCCATAAGTTCAATGCCTTTGATTGACTTATTTTTTCCCCAAATTTTTCTTCTTATTTGTGAATCAGATGGTTGCTGCTAATAGTGATTCCATCCAAGATGGAAGTGTGAGTAGACCAGGGAATTCCACCCAAGTCTGAACTTCTCGAAATCCTTGAATTGTTCTATTCATCAATTGCCTTGTATTGTTTTGCAGGTTCCATTCATCAGCGACCCTAACACTTTCTGAATTCCTATTGTAGCTTGGCATTATGTATTGATGTTTTTCAATGATTTCACAGAAATTGTGGACCAATGCAACAGCCTAAGGAAGTAGGTTGTGAAAACCACTTGACAGGTATTAAAACCCTTGTGAGAAGCTGATTCAACATTTTTCAGGGGTAAGGTAAAAAGGTAAAGGTAAAGGTCCTCCTGTTGATCATTGCTTGAACGGTCCCAGTAACATCTCCATTGGAGACTTTGTTGTTACTGTGTCTGGCATATCGAATACGTCACGGGGAGCTTGCCAGGCTCTGCCTCTCAGTAGCTTGCTGGGCTCTCCAAGAGGGGCGGAGGAATCGAACTCTGGTCTGCCATGTTGGCTGTGTGCAAGGCAAACGCCCTACCGCTGTGCTATCGCTCCAGCCCATGAACAGGGGTAGGCTGGAGCAATAGTAGGATGTTTGCCTTACACACAATTAACCTAGGTTTGATCCTCAGCATCGCAAATCCCCCTCCCCCAAGCACTTCTATGAGTGATTCCTGAGCACAGGAGCTGGGAATAAGTCCTGAGCATTGCCAGATGTGGCCCCAAAACAACAACAAAAGGTTTTTCAATTGTTGGGTGAGACTAGCAAATCATTCATTTCTTCAACAAATCAACAAAAGTCTGTTGAGTTCCTACTTACTATGTGCCCGTATTGTTCTAGATGCTGGAGTGACAGTAAAGGTAAAAGGTAAAGGCCCTCCCGTTGATCGTCGATTTGCTCGAGCGGGCCCAGTAACGTCTCCACTGGAGACTTTGTTGTTACTGTGTCTGGCATAAATTCCTCATAGAGTTTATATTCTAGTGCTGGGAGGCCTGATAAATAAGGGAAGCCCGTGAGACACAAAGTACACAAGAGACTGGAAAGTGCTGAAGGGCAGAGGAAAAGGAAAAGGTGTGGGTGGGGTGAGTAGCAGGGCAGGGGCAGGAGGCAAAAAAAGTTTGAGACAGGCATTCAATGTCCCCTTCCAAGTTTCAAATTTTAAACCATCCATGATGCTAAGTGACCTCACTTGGCTGGGCTGGGCTGAGCAGATGGAAAAGGATGTGCAGGCTGAGAGGGACACACAGTCACAGTAGAATAGTCATAGGATCTCATGCTGACACTGGATTGCCTTCATCCTAGGAAGTCACCTAATCTCTGGGAGCTCAGTCTTCTCTTTAGTAAAATGAGAATGCTAAGTCTTCCTCTGAGTCATGAGTGTGTGAATCCAGAGTTGGTTTCAGCTCCTGGTGTGTTGACCAGTGAAAATCCCTAAATATCCTGCCAGGCTCCTACAAAGTTACTGACAGCTCACAGTAATTTTCGACAAGACAGGGTCACAAATGAGAAAGAAAGAAAAAAGAAAGAGAGAGAGATAGAGAGAAGGAAGGAAGGAAGGAAGGAAGGAAGGAAGGAAGGAAGGAAGGAAGGAAAGAAAGAAAGAAAGAAAACCAATGGATTAAAGAATATTATTCATAGTGTTTAGCCATAGTGTTCAAACTCTGTGAGATCATCTTTCCTACCCTCCCTTCAGGCAGCTTTAACTTCCTTCCTCTCTGGAAAAATGCTCCAGTATGCATTTCTAAAGGAGTCAGTCTGCAGGACATTCTCAGAAGGGCCTCCAAGGGGTCAAGCCTCCAGGGAACATTGGACACCCCAATAGTCCACTTATCTTAAGTTCTGCCCTTGAAAACCTCCCTCTATCTCCAGGCTGCCTCCCTGGTTCCATTTTTGCCACATGGACCACAGAGGACACTGGGTGCCTGGACCAAATCCCCAGAAAATACATTGAAGTTCTAGGAAATTACTCTTCCCTCGCCACTGCTGCTCCTGGGAGGATCAGCTCAATGATCGTTTAGACCCTTACTTATCAGGAGACCTCAGGGAGTCTCGCATTTTTCCACCCAGCAATGACTTGGGCATGACCCCTTTTAGGTGCCCAGTGCCTCAGCGCTGGCCTCTGTTCTACATGTCGCACAGCACTCAAATCACCTCTCAGCATGATGATAAATATATGGGCCCTTCACTGTACCTCATCTACCACCAGGGCCTGTCGCAGTGCTAGCACCAGGAGACCAATAAATGAGTGAGTGAACAGCTGGTGATAGGTTAGAATGGTGGATGTGTGAGAGGCAGGGAAGGAGGAGGGAAAGAAACAAGGAATGGGAATAGGGTGCGTGAGTAGGAAGTGCTACTGTTTTGAACTGAGTGGGTGCCCTGGACAGGGGAAGAAGAGGTGGAGGTGGTGTATTTGGATGACTCTGTAGTCATTGTCTGAGATCCCCACCGTTCCTTCCTAAACACAAACCTGAGCCTAGTGAAGAAGGCCCCACTGGAGGTCTGGGAACTGCAAGTCATAGGAGAAAATCCTATAAATGCGTTGAAGCGAAGAACTGCATCAACTCTAAAGTGCTCCCAAGAAATGAATGACAGACATAAATCAGTCTATAAGTCAAAGCTTATGCCTTGGGGTCTGCATTATTAGGAATCAGAACAAATGTGGACGAATAGACAAGTTACTAAGAGAAGCTCCAAATGCATTAACTAGTAAATGGTACAACTCACCAAGTCCTCATCAAGTTTTAAGACTTAACTGTTTGCACATTCAACTTCTGAGAGCCAAGAGATATATGTATGTGCATCTGCGTGTGTATGTGTGTGTGTTTCCATTTTTCCTGTTTCACATATTCATGGGCTATGGATTGGATTAAATGGCTTGTCCCCATTCCTCAGGTCCCCATGGATGGATTAAGGCTTCAACACGGCCAGTGTGCACATTGCTATATGTCTTGGATTGGCCAAACAGAGACTTGAGATGTGCCTGAGAATATGGATTTGTATATGGTTTCTTATCCACAAGAGAAGCAGGACCTAAGTAGTTCTTGGTTCAAAGGGGAAAGTAGCATGATCATTATACAATCTGTGATCTGGCATAGAGCCCAGGCAAGTTGAACTCAAAGCACAGACCCACAATTGAGGAATAATTTGACACTGAGATTTCTTGTATGTATCTGAATGGAGAGATAACTAATCCAAACAACAATGATACAAATTTTCTCTAGGCTTGGACCAAGTTGGCTATTTTCATCCATCCTCCCATGCAACCCTGCCAACACCCGTCAGTCATAGGTACCATAATCTACTGGGGTGAGAAAACCTCAGTTCAGTTAATTAAAGCAATTTGCCCAAGGACACAGCTAGTCTGTCAAAGGCCAATATTTGCATACAACTTTTTCTACTGCCAAACCCATGCTGTGGCAATCTACCTGGAGCCAAAGAAATAAAACAGACAAAAGGGTTCTGTTTTTGTTGATGTCAGACACACTTTGTGACTATACCCTGATCAGCAAAGTGTGTCATTTTATTTCACAACTTTATTTACTTCTAAACATAGCAGAGGACTTTAGCTGTCCTTTACAAATAATCATAGAGGCATCCACCTGCCAACTCCATGCAGTCTGCCCTGCAGAAAATTGTGTTGCCCAATGCTGGACGTCATACCTAGAGGTGGTTCTACTGCCACCTATCAGCTGTGAGAAGTCAGGTGCCGAGAGAGATGGTGGCGCTCCCGGAAGTACTCATGGCAAATGGGGCATGTGAGGGACTCTTCTCTCAGCTTTGAGTGTAGGTCAGGACCTGACTGCTCCTTCTTGTGGTGGGACCGCATATGGAGCACGAGGTCAGAGGTCAGGTGGAAGGAGAGGTTGCATTTGGCACACCAGTTTTGGGTGGACAAGTTCAGGGAGGTGAAGATGGGTGGTGTCAGGACCCAAGAAGGGGTAGAGGACGATGATGGGGTGGCTATCTGTGCTGTGGTGTGCTTAAGCCACAGTATCGGTGCATCCGGGAAAGCACTGCATAAAGGAGTAATTTGGGGCAATGTTTGCACATTCCAGATACCACTCACTAAGAGCTTGGAATTTGAAAGTGAACCCCAACAAGGCCTGTCTACTTCACTGATGAGTCCCAGCAACTCCCCCAGGGTGCCTGCAAGCCCCCCTGCCTTGAAAACAGGGGAGGCTTGTCCAGGCCTCCCTGCTGGGCACCTGATAGGTTTGCTGAAAGCACTTCTCTGCTCCCTTTGGGCTCTGCTAGGCCACATGGAAAAAAATTTACTATCACCCGAGTCCCTGGGGAAGTCCTGAATCAGCTGTGGGCGGCCATCACACTCCCTCTCCTGGATCTGCCAGTTCCCCAGCCTCTGTTTGTGCTGAGGCACCTCCTTGAAGGCACTCTGCCCCTCTTCCCAGCATCCCTGGGGGGACAGTGGCTTTTCTGTTCTGAGCTTGTCTGGGGATGCTAACAGTGCCAGCTCAGCGCAGACTATATCGGGGCCATCACTGCCAACGGCAGTCTCAGATCCCAGGCAGTTTGTTCTCTCCAGCGCAGGTTTGGGGCCTCTGCCCTGCAGAGGTTCATGGAGCTGCTGTTGGTTTTCAGCTGATGGGCCTAGCAGAGTCCCTGGGCCAGCAGCCATGTTGACTGGCAAGATCTGCAACAGCTGAGTGGGGCAGACACTCCAGCAGCTGACAGTCTTCAGGCTTTGGGACTCTGGAGGTGCTTGCTTGGCTGAGCCTGGAAGGTAGCCTTGGTGGGTGGGCTAGAACACAAGGTTCTGCTGGGGAAAGAAGCAACAGAGAGTGAGACAAGCTGTGTGATTTGGGGACACAGAATGCAAACAGCTCTGACAATGCTGCAAAGTCCCCAAAGCTGGACCTAATCTTGCACATCAAATGGCAGCAGGAACATGGGAGCAGATCAGTCTCTGTGCCATGTGCCATGTGCCAAATCTCAGCTGCGTGACATTAGACAAGCCACCATCTCAGGACAGCTGGAACCCATTTCCTGAAGCCGCAGGGGGAGTGAGGAACCAAGCGGGTCTCATCTGCAAATACCTAGGAGCAGAATAGAGACAAGGGCTAAGGTCTGAAAAAAGAGATTAATGGGCTCCCCCTAGCAGAGATGGTTTAGAAAGGGTTTTTTGTTTGTTTTATTACTGTGTTACTGTGTTACTGTGTTTGGCATATCGAATACGTTAGTGAAACACCATGAGGTACAGTTGTAGACTTATAAACTTTAGTGCTTGGGTTTCAGTTATACAATGATTGAGTACCCATCCCTCCACCAGTGCCCATTCTCTACCACCAATGATCCCAGTAGCCCTCCCACCCCTACGTTACTAGTCCTGTTTGAGCAAATCGATGAACAACGGGAGGACAGTGACAGTGATCTATAGTGTATGTGGATTCCTTTTCTTTCCCACTGTCACCACTGCTTATTTTTAGTTATTCAGAGTTATGAGAAAATAGTTTACTGAAATATTGATTTACATTTCACAGATAATAATATTAATAAGCACTGTCACTGTCACTGTCCTCCCGTTTGTTCATCGATCTGCTCGAGCGAGTCCAGTAACGTCTCCAATGCATTCAGTCGAATACTGCAGAGTGGGCACTCTTTTTTATTTTATTAAAAATTTTTTTGATAGTGAGACATCATGAGGTACTGTTGTAGACTTACATATTTTTGTGCTTGGGTTTCAATTATACAATGATCAAATACCCATCCTTCCACCAGTGCCCATTTCCCACCACCATGGATCCCAGTATCCCTCCCACCCCCCATCTCCCCCATCCCATCCTGCCTCTGTGGCAGGGCATTCCCTTTTGTTCTCTCTCTCTTATTGGGTGTTGTGGTTTGCGAAAGAGGCAATGGGTGACAATCATGTACTGTGTAGCTGTTAGAAAAGACGAAGTCACGAAATTTACATACAATAGTGGGCACTCTTGAGAGCGATCAGTGTCTGGTGTCTACCACTTGCTCTGTGCCTTAGGAAATTTCTCTCGAAGGTGCTCGGAAACCAGTAATGTCAGGAAATAAACCTGGACTGAACATATGCAAAGCAACAGATCACAAAACATTAGCATGCATTTATTATTTCAAATGGATATAAAAAAAGTTATCATAAAAGTTCTGATCAACTTTCTGATCTACCACCAAAGATAACCCCTAGAGCTGCTAGATGGACCTATCCCTCAGCCAATGGTCTCAGTCAACATCATGAGCCCAGGTAGCTTTTGGTTTGTTCCCTGTTTCCTCAGAGGCAGCTTCTTAGAAGAATTCTGTGTGCTTCCCCTTACCCCCTCCTAGTTCTGTGTGATGGGTCAGTGACCCCACCACCACGGAGCCTGGTTTAGACTAGATTAGTAAAGGTTCCAGTGATTTCTGATCAGCCTCATTCACTCTTACCCAGTCAAGCTTTCCATGGTGACTTCCACATGCATTTGGCAATCCCCGTTCCCTTTGGAAAAATTCCTCTTTGCTATTTTCAAAGTTCAGTTCAGATGGGGTGTCCTCCCCCCACCTTCTCTGATCCTCTTAGACACAGGTATCATTCCCTCATACATAAGTCTCCTGTCCCTGACCCAACATCCTATTTTGCACCAAAGGAAATATTACACTTACTTGTTAGTAGTTTGCTGGAAGGCAAACTTGAAGACTCCCATGTCAATTCACCTTTCCAATTGCAGCTCTCAGCGGTACTTGCTCAGAATGGTGTAATCAGGATGATTGTCTGACAAATAAATGAGAGAACATAAAATAAATTTAATAAACTATGAGAAGAAATTAATATCCTCTTCATGAAGATAATGTGAATATTTCCCCTCATAAATAATGGAGAAGGTGAGTATGTTTCCACAGGCCTTAGGGGGAAAAAAACTGCTTCATGGGAAGGGTGAGGTCAGAGAACAACCTTTTCTGAAGCTGACCAACACCTGTGCTATGATATAGATTGCTTCATGAGATAGAGACATCGCTATTAATTGGCTAGTTAAGTATAGATGCCGAAGGTTTCATACACCTAAAGTAAAATTTCCTCGACAACCACATAAGAGAATTTGCATGTCACAATCTAGGTGCATTCATCTTGAATCTGCCAAATGCCCAGTTTCTGAAGTCAGTGTTGCCTCATGCCATCTGCATCAGGATTCTGCCTATGGCTTTTATTTCTCCATTCCAGTTCACACTTTAATGATACTATCCTTCAGATCTTAGCAATGATTATGGACCAAGGAGGTAGAAAAGACAACTTTTAATTAATAATTATAACAATTCCTTTGATAATCATATTGAGGAGGAAAAAATGGGAAGACAAAGAAGTCAGCGACCTGCCTGGGAATCTTAACATGCCCCTAAGGATTTCCACTCTCATAATTATCAGCACTGCTGCAGTAAAGTCACTCAGGAAAGTGCAAAGTTCCACAAAATTTCAACAGTCTATCTACTCTCCAGCCATAGTATTGCCTGCAACAATTGCCAGATGGAAGTTTCTCAAAGTAGAAACGTTCCTGGGTAAAGTGGGGTTGCTCTTCTCTGTCTTCTACAGACACCAGCTGCCCTGGCAACAAGTAGCCCTTGTTCTCTTGTTCCACCCCAATATTAATGAGCTCATTGCTGCCCTCTGCTCTTCTCAATAGCTTCAGTTCATTCTGGGCTCTATTTACAACCATGATACTATTTACTCCTTCTCGTTGCTCTCTGTATATGCTTTTAAAGAAGCTCTTCTTGACATCCCTGTTTATTTAGGTCTGAGTGCAGTGAGACATCATAGCTACACAAACACCCTTCAGTATCACCCTGTGGTCTTCCTTTTGAAAGAAATTGATTTCAATCCTAAACTCTGCCACTTTTCCATGCCCAGAGGGTAATGGTTTTCAACATTTTTAATACCCATGGACCAGTGGCACTTTGAACATGGTGAGCACACGAGTATTGAAAGACAACTGCCTTACATAATGGGTTGAGGAGGTGATAATCTTTGAAAATTTCTAAAACCAAGCTCCCTAAACTGACAGTGTTTAAACTTGCCCAGCCTTTTCTACAAGTCTTCCCTTCTTCCTCATGCTCTCACCCTCTGAGACTACCAACCAGAATTTCATACTGGACTCTAATGACCAACACAAGGACTATGTTCTGAGAGATAAAGAATTAAATTAAAAGCACATGGATTTTTATTCATTCATTTCTTAATCCTGGGCTGCAGGTTGCCAACTTTGCAAATTCCTTCACCAGGAAGTACTGGTCATATTCTCCCCTGTTGCTTCTCTGTTCATCTGATAAAAGGGTAGCTCCAAACAACCATCAAGATATGCATTCACATAAAGTTTAAGTGTACTATTCTGGGGTCAGAATGGTTAGATTAGATCTGCCAGTGTTCGGACCTATCCAGTAAGTCTGGGAAAGGTGTGGATCCTTTACAAACTTTGTTTTCTCCTGTGTGTGTGTGTGTGTGTGTGTGTGTGTGTGTGTGTGTGTGTGTGTTTTAAAGTGAAGCTGGAGCAATAGTACAGTGGGTAGGGCATTTGCCTTGCACGCGGCTGACCTGGGATCAATCCCCAGCATTCCATACAGACCCTCAAGCACTGCCAGGAGTAACTCCTGAACATTGCTGGGTGTGACCCAAAATGCAAATAAATAAAAATTTAAAATTAAAAAATTTTTAAAATGGTGATTTCTACTTCATCAGGTGTTTCTAAAGATTGGTATATGTAAAGTGTCCAAAAGTTTGATCAATACAAGGAGGTATCAGTACTAGTTTTATACTAGTGTGAAAGTTTGTTAAAATCATATAGCCCACGAGTTTCCTTTTTCTCCCTTCATCTACAGAAAAAAAGTTTCAGAAAACAACTGGATGACAAATTATGAGACTTCTGGATACTCTCCAGCATAAGTCAGTGGGTCAGTCTCTTGTGTTCTACTGAAAAACAAGATCGTATTTGAGGATATTATCTACACAGCCACTCAATGCCTTTTTTGGTCTACCTTCCCTTTCAGCTAAAACAAATGAATATATATATATATATATATAGATATACAGATATATATTCAATATCTTGAGCTACTGCCCAGCAGAATATTTCAGAGAATATTTGTTTTTCTACTTTTTCTTTGTAAGGATTGTGAGGGCTATGACTTTTCTCCCAAGAAGGAAAGCATGCATTTTCTAATCAATTCCTAAGCTATGGAGAGAGGAGAAAATGAAACAATTTTAAGCTTTCTAAAAGCTTGGGAGAAAAGTAGATTTCACAGACAATTCCTACAGACTTCCAGTTCAGCTATTTCTATATTCCTGTAGCAGCAATACCTGTTGCATTTGAGCATAAGGAAATGCTGGATTTCCAGGTTATAAGCAGTTCCAGACCCATAGTGAGAACAGTTGTGCTCCTAAAATAACTTGGCCAACTGGACCATTGACAGTGATAGCCTTTAGAAGAAATTGCATCAGAACACCCAACCAGACACTATTATGCCAACAAAATATCATATACTAGACATAGTCTCCTTAAAAAAAAAGTACAATAAATGTAAACACATTATAGCTTGTCTTGACTTTTTCTTTCTTTCTTTCTTTCTTTCTTTCTTTTTTTTTTGTTTTTGCCTTTGGGGTCACACCCGGTGATGCTCAAGGATTACTCC